CTCTTAAAATCACTTATCGAAAATTGTTCTCAATCGAATAAAACTAAACAAATTGAAACTATCAAGACCAATATTAACTTCCGATGTTCGATAGAATATCAACAAGAAAAATTAAAAAAAACAAAACTTCAAACTTCTACAATTCGTTTAAAATAAATCGTTGGTAATTATATTGAATAAAATTGAGCATAACATTCTCGTATACTTTTTAATCAACCGATTGACTTCGAAGAATTTGATTAACAAATAAAAAAAGATCTTTATCTTAACAATAGGATCTAAACAATTAATGGATTCTCTCGATTATTAATCTTTTACATTTAGATTACGTTCAATAAAATCCGATTTTACTAGTGTAATCAGAGCTAAACGACGGCACAAATTTTTCTTGTCTTATTAATAAATCTAGTCTTTAGAAAACTAAAAAAAAGAGTAATAAACTGTAAATTGTTTCAGATGTCAACTAGACCTACAAGATCAACAAGAATAACAATAAAAAAAGATAAAAATGAAGAACAATTTGAAGTTGAACAACAATTTGTTCTTCGAATGCCACCAGTTATCTTTTTTTTTCAATTCAATAAATTTTATTCAACAATTGTTTGGATTTTTTGAAGGGTGAATATGCAAGGCGTTTACTTAAGTTGATTGATTCTGATGATAAAAATATTCGTCAACGTGTTTTTATTGATTTAAATCTTGAACAAAGACGTGATCATCTTAAATTTGATGATACTCTTTTTAAAGGCTACACTCTACGATTTACCATTTATAATAGAAATATATTAAACATTTCATCGATAAACTTTATATAAAATAGATTATATTGATCAACTAACACAAAGATTTTTATTTTTTGTGTACTCAAAAAGTTCATAGACTCTAGAATCGGTCAGTGTGTCCGTCTGGCCGTCCGTATACACGATAACTTTCGAAAGGAGAGTCAGATCATGATGAAATTTTCTACACAGTTCAGTCTAATCAATGTCTCGGTCGAGTTCGAAGATGAGCCTGTTTGGACGAGCTCTTCCAGAGTTATTGCAAAAATACTGATTTTTCCCTGTGGTTTTCCTGTGTTTTCCTATGGGAAGATCGATATATTGTCGCTTTCGTAAGAAACTTTTCTATCAGAATCGAATAAAATCCCATTTGTTATATGCCATTCGATAGAGAATTTTACAAACTACAAAATGGTATATAATATATAAAGAAATAAGAAGGTTAAGTCACCTATTGTGTACTCAAAAAGTTCATACACTCTAGAATCGATCAGTGTGTCCATCTGACTGTCCGACCGTTTACACGATAACTGTTGAAAGGAGAGTCCGATCACGATGAAATTTTCTACACAGTTTAGTCTCAACAATGTCTCGTTTGAGTTCGAAGAGGAACCTGATTGGACGAGCCCTTTCTGAGTTATTGAAAAACTACTCATTTTTCCCTATGGCCTCCTATGCGAAAATCGACCTATACCTGCTTTCATAAAAAACTTTTCTTATCATAATCAAATACAACCTCAACTATTATATACCATTCGATAGAGAATTTCACGAGCTACAAAATGGTAAGGTGTGGGAAATGCAAAATTCGAGCAAATTTTTTTTTCATTTTTTTATACATGGTTGGATAGAGCTCGTCAAGCTGAGTAAGAATATGTATGTAGTAATTTTTTTTCTAAAG